GTTTTGTAGATAAGTTCATTTGTGTTATATTTTAGAGTCCACACATAAGTGATATCATATGGTATTTGTCTTCCTCTTTCTGACTTATTTCACTTAGTATGATCATCTCTAGTTCCATCCAAGTTGCTGCAAATGGTATTATTTCATTCTTTTTTATGGCCAAGTAGTATCCCATTGTATATATGTACCACATCTTCTTTATCCATTCATCTGTTGATGGACATCTTTTTGTGTGTGTGAATTAAAACATATTTTTTAACTTATTTTTTGAGTTGGTCCCAATATTTATTTTTTTCTAATTAATTTTTTTTGTTGGAGTATAGTTGATTTATAACGTGTTAGTTTCTGCTGTACAGCAAAGTGAGTCAGTTATACATACACATATATCCACTCTTTTTTTAGATTCCTTTCCCATATAGGTCATTATAGAGTATTATATATATATATATATATTTTTTTAATTTTATTTATCTATTTATTTTTGGCTGCGTTGGGTCTTTGTTGCTGCATGTGGGCTTTCTCTAGTTGTGGCGAGCTGGGGCTACTCTTCGTTGTGGTGCGCGGGCTTCTCATTGCAGTGGCTTCTCTTGTTGCGGAGCATGGGCTCTAGGCGTGCGGGCTTCAGTAGTTGTGGTGCACGGGCTTAGTTGCTCCACGGCATGTGGGATCTTCCCTGATCAGGGCTCAAACCCGTGTCCCCTGCATTGGCAGGCAGATTCTTAACCACTGCACCACCAGGGACGTCCCATTACAGAGTATTGAATAGAGTTCCCTGTGCTATTCAGTATATTCTTATTAGTTATCTATTCTATATATAGTAGAGTGTATGTGTCAATTCCGGTCTCCCAATTTATCCCTCCCAGTTGGCTCTAATTTTAATTAGCATGTGTTGACCTATTCTTCCATATTATTGGCTTTTGAGGTTCTCTTCACTATCCACGTCTAATGTCTTTGTAGTAGTAGTGAGCTCCAAGAAGAAGTTTCTGACATAGGAACCAATCCAAAGATTAATAGTATATAAAATATTTTCTACTTTTTCCCAAGAAGTGAAGCAAATCAGTATGAAATATGAGACAGTGTAATTTTTCTAGACTCTCATTTCTCTACCATAGCAGGCAGCTTCCCTTGTAAATAAGTGCTCTTCTTTCTTCCAGAAAGAAATTTATTACAGGAGGCTAGTTAACTGCCTTGGGGAGTTGATGGAAGTCCCATCTCTTTGAGTCGTGGTGCGTACCTCGGAGGGAGTGAATTCCACACAGAGTTTTAGTGACGATGATCTCACTATTTATGCCTCATGTCTGCACTTTAGTTTATGTGCCAAGATTGCTTTCCCTGATGAACAAAGTTCTGTCTAAGGCAAAGTGATCTTGCCTCTTCACTTGTCCCTTTCCCCCTTAGTTAGCCACACTTTGGCATGTGGTACCTGTTAATGAATTCAACCAAAGATGGTCCCACTCCAGATTGTTACTGGCATTTGTCATCTGACATCTACGAGTATAACTGATAATGAGTGCACTTTAGCTGAAACCTTAGTCAGCAGTACCGTATTCCTGGGGGAGACTAGACCACTACGGCAAGCCTGTGGGTCCTGCTGCTCTTCTGCCTTCCAGGTAGAGGCAAGGGGATAGCACTGAGACACCATGATCCAAGAGGTGAACTAGGATGAGATCTTCTAAATAGCCCTCTCACTGGAATACCAAGGTAACACCCAAGTTAAGTCTCTTAACTTAGTACCCAAATTAGGGGCTTCCCTGGCGGCGCAGTGGTTGAGAGTCCACCTGCCGATGCAGGGGACACGGATTCGTGCCCCGGTTCGGGAAGATCCCACATGCCGCGGAGCGGCTGGGCCCGTGAGCCGTGGCCGCTGAGCCTGCGCGTCTGGAGCCTGTGCTCCGCAGCGGGAGAGGCCACAACAGTGAGAGGCCCGCGTACCGCAAAAAAAAAAAAAAAAAAAAAAAATGTTTGGATCCCTTACGAAGCCCTACTGTACTCAAGTTTACCAGGAGATCTGGGTAGGAATGGCGTTGATGGGCTTCATCGTTTATAAAATCAAGAGTGCTGATAAAAGAAGTAAAGTTTTGAAAACTTCAAGTCCTGGGCCTGCTCACAGCCATCATTAACCAGCTTTACTTAGAGTGCACATCAGGTGAAACACAGTCTGGCTGTGAATTTAAGCAATCTCTGTTATATGGAAACATGGGACATCACTGCACACCTGTATAAGGGCCATTTCCTTCATGGAATGAATAAGTGTACTTAGAAGATGCAAAAACAAAGCAAAACAAAACCCAGTTGATTCTTTAGGTTGATGTTCTGGTTCTATAACATTCCTTTTAAACCAGGGTCCTTAACCTAGATTCCATGGACTCCCAGGAATCTATGAATGGCTTTAGGGGATATGTAAGACACCTGAAATTGTATGCACAATTTCCTGTTGCTATGGATATTTCTGAGAAGAGAGTCTCTAGTTCTTATCAAAGTCTCAAAGATGTCTGTAACTCCCTCACTCTCTAAGTGAGGTCATTTGAAATGACCACATTATATGGTGTATTGGTTCTCAGTTACTCATTCAATCGATTTTCATTAATAAATATAGGATAAGTAATTGCCCAAGAAAGGCACTATATTTGACATTTAGGGAGAGACAAAGATATAGTACAACTCTTGTTTTGGAAAAGATTACCATCTTTTGGGGATGAATTGCACAATAGTCCCCCAAAAGACAATTAACAATGCAAGGTTATGAATGTACCTAATAAGTGGTATGGGCAAAACATGCTAAAATAATTTAGAGAGGGAGGGATCAGTACTCCTGGGGTTGTTGGACAGGAGCTGAACTTGAGCCTGGAGATGTAGCAGCAAAGCCTGACTCTGGTGTTCAGCCACTGTACCCTGGGTGTTCATATCAGATGTTAAATAATGAAATATTTCTGTGCCAGTTGGTTGCAGTCTTCCCCCAAGCCCACCCCAGTGCCTCTATTGCCCTGGCCATATCTCCACCAGGAATTCCCAGCACTCCCCCCACCGCCACCTTTTAGGATCCAGTAACTGTAGGATTAATGCCTAGCCCAGAAAGATCTTCTAGGACACCACTCCATCCTTCTGGCTAGAGCTCTTCTGATGGTTCAGTGTCCATACTGATCAGTTATTGATATCTTGAATATCACCACTGCCTTTAAGGTATGATATGTGTTTGTTAGGAGTTCATATGTACAATCGTATGACTGAAATAATAGAAAGGAGAAGGAAAACATCTCAGGAAAGGGAAATGGTAAAAGAAAGAAGACCAGTTGGTTGATAAGGCTATTCTGGATTTAGAGGATAGCCGACTAATTTGGTTGGATACAGAGAAGAGAATAGTGAATAATAAAGTCAAAAAGACAAGCTGTAGCCAGCTTGTTGTGGAAACAGTTTGGGATTGGGAGCATGGGAGGGAGGGTAGGTACTGCACTCTGGAGTTTGGGCTGTATATGTTAGATGTCACCTGTAAATGCTTAAGGTGTGGAATGACACGATGACAGCAGAACTTTTAGAAGAATAATATGGCAGGGGTGTGTAGGATGAAAGAACAAAAGGAATCATTAGCAAGGTAAATTCTAGATGTAAATTAGCCATCGTGAAAATTTTCCTGTGAAAATTAGACAATCAACTGATTTTTTTTTTTTTTTTTTTTTTGCGGTACGCAGGCCTCTCACTGTTGTGGCCTCTCCCGCTGCGGAGCACAGGCTCTGGACGCGCAGGCTTAGCGGCCATGGCTCACAGGCCCAGCAGCTCCGCGGCCTGTGGAATCTTCCCGGACCGGGGCACGAACCCACGTCCCCTGCATGGCAGGCAGACTCAACCACTGCGCCACCAGGGAAGCCCTCAACTATGAATTTTAATGTGAGAGGGTGTGGAGGAAAAGACACACTGGCTGTGGCACAGAATGAAACTGGGTAGAGTATTTGAAAGGGAGCCTTAAGAAACCTGGGCCATCTAGTTACAGTGTCCCTAGGAGAGGGCAGATCAGGTTAGTGACCACAGAAAGGAGCCAGTGAAGAGCAGGGAAAATCGCATTGCTGTTTGGGATACGTTCAGGGTAGTAGGATACAGACTAGACCACAAAAAAAGCCACTCAACAATTACCTGTCTGTCTTATGTAAAGTTCATAAAATAACATGACAAAATAGTTGGGGGAGAGAGAAAGAGAGAATATGATTGAATCTTGGACTTGTTTGACTGACTTGTTCTTACTTGTTCTATCTAATTCTAGAGCAGCAATCAAGCGAGTCTTGGAAGCCCAGAATCCCTCCCTAGCATGCATTGCACATTTTCAGGGAACACCAGGAATTTCCAGGGAACACACTGCATGTGAATGTGTAGTGTGACCAGTGTGACCCTGTAGTAAGGGTCAGAGCAGAGACTCAGCCCAGTTCTCCTGGTGATTTTAAGGTGGTGCAATTTCCATGACAAGCCAGCTACAGCTGTTGTTCATCCACCTGAGAAAGCTTTGCTTTGAGTATTGGCACCAAAATTAGAGTTCTTTTTCTTCAAATGGTTGAAAAACAGCTGAGGTCAACCTCCCAAAAGGCAATAGTGTTTCTATTCCAATGCATAAAGTCACCAAGCAATAAGATCTGAAGGACACTTCTTTGTTTTATTTTTATTGGGGATGAAGACTGTTTGTCTTTTTAATTTTTCTGGAGGAGTTTAAGCTTTTAGAGGGATGAATTACCTCTGGTTTTATGTGTCCAACATCATCAAACTGCCCCATGAAGATATTTTGTTGTTAAAATGAGCCCTGTGTGTGAGATCATTCTATCTTGTTACACCGGACACCAGGGCAAACTATTTAGAATAAATTGAAATGAATAACTAATGAAAGAGAAAAGAATATTCCTTTCAGTGTTCCTGGATATACTAGTCTTGTTCTTTTTTTCTGGCTTCTCCTTACTTCTTTCCACTTTTGCATCATTTTGACCCATTCACCCTCATGGCTTATTCCTTCCTTTTTATTTCAGAGTAGCTGTAATGACAGCCTAGCTGCAGACAAGGAGGCTTTGTCCTCTGAAGGAGATGGCATGAAAGACAGGAACTGCTGTTGTCCTGTCTACCATGGATGTCAAGAAATGCCTTTCCTTCTACTCATGAACCTAGGCCACCAGGCTGGCAAACAGGAAGAGGCCCTGTGCTCCCTGGCTGAACCACACAGTACACAGTACCCTGACTCTGCTCCCTCTTTGTTCTTTAGGGAACTGGTTAGTCTACAGCCTTTCTATTCAAAGTATAGTCCAAGACCCAGTGCCATCACGCCATCAGCCTCACCAAGCAACGTTCAAAATGAAGAACTTCCACCTCAAACCTATGGAACCAGGATCTGCTTTTTTTTTTTTGGCCGTGCCACATGGCTTGTAGGATTTCAGCTCCCCAACCAGGGATTGAACCCGGGCCCCAGCAGTGAAAGCTCTGAGTCCTAACCACTGGACCACCAGGGAATTCCCAGGATCTACATGTTAACAAGATCCCCAGCTGATTCGGATGGGCATTAAAGTTTGACAAGCACTGGTCTATAGGAGGTCCTCTTACCCACAGACACATTTTCCCTTTCTGGTGAGTTTGGGACACGATTCAACAGAAATCATACACTATACTGAGATATATCTTAGTAGAAATTATGCCCCTACATATACCTAGGTACACTAAGAACAAATTGAAAACAAATTTATCTTAAAAAGTTGAGTTCTTTGCCTGATATGTTTGTGGTTTTTTTTTTTTTTTTTTTTTTTTTTTGCGGTACGTGGGCCTCTCACTGCTGTGGCCTCTCCCGTCGCTCCGGACGCGCAGGCCCAGCGGCCATGGCTCACGGGCCCAGCCGCTCCGCGGCATGTGGGATCTTCCCGGACCGGGGCACGAACCCGTGTACCCTGCATCGGCAGGCGGACTCTCAACCACTGCGCCACCAGGGAAGCCCAACCAAAATAACTTCTTTTAGTTGTTTTCACTATGTTTGTGCATATTCTCTTAACTGCTGAGCTCCCTGGGAAGCTACATTGATTTACTTGGATGCTTTGCCCGATTCTTTCTCATTTGGGATTTTTGGTGAGAACATAATCAGAATTTAATATTTTGATTTTTCCAACATTCCAAAGCTATGTTCTTTTTAAGCATTCTGAGAATCTCAAGTTTCTTTAAGCTTTTCCTCCCCTGTGATTTTAAGTTCAAGCCAAACAATTGGATTTATCCTACTATCACTTCACCCTGAGAGAATTCTGTCAGAAGCAGTATTCATTTTTTTTTAAACTTTTTATTTTATATTGGAGTATAGCCAATTCAGAAGCAATATTCAGGGGCTTCCCTGGTGGTGCAGTGGTTAAGAATCCACCTGCCAATGCAGAGGACATGGGTTTGAGCCCTGGTCCTGGAAGATCCCACATGCCGCGGAGCAACTAAGCCCGTGTGCCACAACTACTGAAGCCCACGTGCCTAGAGACCGTGCTCTGCAACAAGAGAAGCCACGGCAACAAGAAGCCTGCGCATAGCAACAAAGAGTAGCCCCCGCTCGTCGCAACTAGAGAAAACCCGTGCACAGCCACAAAGACCCAACAGAGCCAAAAATAAATAAAATAAATTAAGTTTTTCAAAAAAGCAGTATTCAGTTTGCAAGCAAAGCAGGAAAACATCAGCAGTATCCTCAGATTCTCTTAAAATAATTTCCATAATATAATATTGAGGTTTACTGCTTGATATCTTAAGGATATCAAGGATCAATTTTTATTTTTGAACCTCTGTTTCATGAGCAAAACACTTACTTGTTCTTTCCAGCATTGTCCAAGGACAGTAGCTTTATTCTCTAAATACTTTAACAAAACAGAATTTTCTGACTGATCAAGTATGTTTATATGATAAATCAGTGGCCCAGGCATGATTCTAGAAGGTAATGTCCTTTATTCTTTAATTTTATTATTATTTTACTTGGATTAACTTCTATTATAAACTTCTATTTATAAATATTTGATCTAGCTCACAATATTTTGTTCACTTAGACAAACTTATTCATACACTAACATGAAAACCTATACAAAGGGGTTATAATATTGAGCCTAGAGTATTTGACTCCTACTCTTGTATCTAACTACTAGTTAGAAATAGGTATAATATTTATATTGCTAGTACTAAGTATAGTTATTTTACTAATAACTGCAGGTGACACAAAAGAAATAAAAAATGGTCTTTGTCTTAAGTGTACTTTTTCAGGTAGGAAGACAAAGCAGAAGAAATGTGCAAGAATAACATGGAAAAAAAATTCTCACCCAGGTATAAGATGGTAACAGCTACCTGGGCCACTAGTGTCAAGCTACTTGAATGCTTATCCTGGCTAAGGCACTGTGCTTAGACCTTGACATGTAGCAGTATCTCATTCACAGCAGCTCCATTCTACAGAGGAGAAAAATGAGGCTGCGAAACTTCAGTAACTTGAAATTGGTATTCAAACCAACATCTCATATCAAAACCATGCTCTTAACTATATAGTACTGCCTGCCTGATAGAGAGTAAGGGATAGAATATTTATTTTCCTTTGCTTTTAAAAAAAACCGTTGTCTACTATTTTATTTATTTTTTTACAGCTTTGTTGAGATACAGTTGACAAATAACATTGTGTGAGTTTAAGGTGAACAAGGCATACAACATATTGATTTGATACACTTATACATTGTCAAATGATTACCACAGCTAAATACCTCCATCATGTCATGTAATTATCATTTCTTCTTTGTGGTGAGAGTATTTAAGATCTACTCTCTTGGCAACAGTCCTTTACTCCTGATATGTCAATTGCAAACCTCTTGAAAATGAGAATGATGTTACCTAATTCCTTTGTGTCGCCCAGGACCCTGCACAATGCTGGGCACAGTATAAATGTTGCAACTTCCCCAAGGATGAACTGCAAACAGGATTACCAAAATCTTGGCAACTAGCAGCATAAACTTGGTGTGCTAGACCTTTTCTAAAAGAAAGAGCGTAATATAATAGATATCAGGTGGTTTTCTCATGATTTGCATATCCACTAAACTCATGATGCCTCTCTGGGATTTTTCATCTGACCTTTGGTCTCAGTTCACTTCCTCTACCTTTAAGAGGCAACTCAATCTTCACCTCTTCTGTGGAGGAAACATTTCCTGACTTCCTGAGGTAGAGGGGGCTGTTTTCTCCTTGGTGTTCTACTAGTATCACACTTCATAGCACACATGGTACAGTATGTAGCACTGGTGTGTGTGGGGATGGTGCATTTATAGGGAAGCCTGAGAGGAGCCCATTGCCATCTGGTGGGGAGATAAATTTCTAACGCAACATACATCTCATATCATGGCAGTGTAGATTTACATGACATGTTCAAGGCATCTCATGTGCGGTATAATATTTATTGAGTGTGTGATAGATAGATAGATAGAAAGGAAGAAAAAGTTTTCCTTGACCCTCTTAGGGTTCCTGGCTGGGTCTGAAAATGAAACTGACAAAGACAGATGAAGAGGAGAAAAGCCTACAAATTTATTTAACATAAGTTTTACATGACACAGAAGTCTTCATAAGGAAATGAAGACCCACGGAAACAGTTAGAACTGAGTATTTTTTATTTATTTATTTATTTATTTTTGCGGTACGCGGGCCTCTCACTGTTGTGGCCTCTCCCGTTGCGGAGTACAGGCTCCGGACGCGCAGGCTCAGCGGCCATGGCTCACGGGCCCAGCTGCTCCGCGGCACGTGGGATCTTCCTGGACCGGGGCACGAACCCGTGTCCCCTGCGTCAGCAAGCAGACTCTCAACCACTGCGCCACCAGGGAAGCCCTAGAACTGAGTATTTTTATGCTAGGTTTGATGAAGAGAGGATAGTCATGGAAGAATATGATAGGTCAGAGAGTATGAGGTAATTGAAGTAAACTGGAGAAAACTTAGCAAAGCTGGTTTGTTAAGGATTCTTCTCTGGATCCATTTGTCTTTAGAGGTAAGAATGCTCCTTTCCCACAGGTATAGGGTGAGCACCTCTCACAGGAGGCTTTTTGAACTATTTCAGAGAAGGATGGTAGTGGGGAGGAAGGTCAGAGTGACCGTCTTGCTTCTACTGTTTTCTCAAACTCTTTCCACTTAAAATAGTCGATATGCCAAGGTGCCATATTTTGAGGAAGCAAGTCCTCAATCATTAAAATCATTAGTAAAGCATTACTCAAATTGCCCCACTAGAAACTTTTCAAGATTTTAATAGCTGCTCCTTGAAAATAAAGGCTTTAGTGGTCAAATGAGTTTGATAAATTCAAGATTAAATAAAGTTAAACTTTTAAATGTATGCTATAATTTTTCCCTGCAATACTTCTCAAAACTCAACATGCGGATGTGCATTGTGAATCTCCCAAGTGTGAATCCAGTATGCGGCATTTCCTAATCATACTTGCCCATAGAATTCCCTCATTTTTCATGCCCTGTAGAACATAGTGTGGAGACTGACTTCATGGTTGAGAGTAGAGAAAGATATGAATGTCATCACAGATTAATTGCTTGGTTTTGGGTCAGCACTTTAAGCCATAGTTTCCTGATCTGCAAAATGGGGATAATACCTATATCTCATATTGTTGTTGGCAAAACATAAAAGGTTTATAAAATGTCTAGGAATTCTCAGTAGATCATCGCAATTACGATTGTTAACAATAATATATCTGGGAGCTGGGACTTCCCTGGAGGCACAGTGGTTAAGAATCCGCCTGCCAATGCAGCAGACACGGGTTCGAGCCCTGGTCCGGGAAGATCCCACATGCCGCAGAGCAACTAAGCCCATGCACCACAGCTACTGAGCCTGCACTCTAGAGCTCACGAGCCACAACTACTGAAGCCCGCACACCTAGAGCCCATGCTCAGCAACAAGAGAACCCACCGCAATGAGAAGACCGCGCACCACAATGAAGAGTAGCCCCCGCTCACCACAACTAGAGAAATCCCGCGCAGCAACAAAGACCCAATGCAGCCAAAAATAAATAAAATTAAAAAAATATATATATATATATCTGGGAGCTGCCTATTCATCTTCGGAACCCCTGTGCTTTGCAGAATACTGGACCTGAAGTTCACTTGAGTTCAGACTGTTACACGTGGCTCAGCTTCAGCATGTGGGCGGCCCAAAGGCTTCCCTACTAACTGTATCCTTTGTCCTTTAACAGGATTGGAGTCAATCTTAGATGAGTCCTGTTCTGGTCATGGTCCTGTTGCTTAGTATCTTCTTATAAAAAACAAAAATAAGATAAAAGAAGAAATGAGGTTTGAACTAAGTAACCTCTAGAGTTCATGTTCTCTAAAACTCTAAGGGATGGAAGTTTCCTCGTGGTCCAGTGGTTAGGACTCAGCACTTTCACTCCCATGGGCCAGGGTTCAATCCCTGGTCAGGGAACTAAGATCCCTCAAGCCTTGCAGTGCAGCCAAAAATAAAATAAAAGGGGCTTCCCTGGTGGCGCAGTGGTTAAGAATCCGCCTGCCAGTGCAGGGGACACGGGTTCGAGCCCTGGTCTGGGAAGATCCCACATGCCGAGGAGCAACTAAGCCCGGGTGCCACAGCTACTGAAGCCCACGCACCTAGAGCCCTTGCTCTGCAACAAGAGAAGCCACCACAATGAGAAGCACGTGCACTGCAACGAAGAGTAGCCCCAGCTTGCTTGCAACTACAGGAAGCCCTCATGCAGCAACGAAGACCCAACACAGCCAAAAATAGATTAAATAAATAAATAAATTTAAATAAATAAAATAAAAAGCAAAAATTAAAAAAACAAATTTTTAACCCAATGTAGCCAAAAATAGATAAATTAGATAAATAAATAAATAAATTTAAATAAATAAATAAAATAAAAACAGAATAAAAAACAAAATTTTAAAAAAACAAATTTTTAACCTAATGCAGCCAAAAATAGATAAATTATTAACAAATAAATAAATAAATTTAAATAAAATAAAAAACAAAATTTTAAGGGAGACCAAAAGTAATTCTCAGGCTGCCACAGTTAGAGTTTTTGTACTATTTTGACTGGGCTGATGAGTACAAGTGTCTATGCACCACTTTATTTTCTTCACTTAGAAAGGCCACTTTAAACTGATTGCCATCAATATTCTTTTTTTTTTACATAGAAAAGGTGAATATTTAATACACCTGTAAATGTTTATTTCCTTTTCCCTTTGCAGAGCAAACCAATTTTTAATTCAGGAGTGGCATGCAATCAAAACCTATTGATATTTACATCATTTGGAAATATCTCAATGTATTAATTTATTTGAAAATGCATATAATATTCTTGATATAAAGGAATTTGACTTTGGTTAATATTTCATTTTATCAGATTATATATCAGTTATATATGAATACACAGCACTGTAAACTAGAATTTATGCCTGGAAGTCATTTTGATACATCTCCTCCCTGACCTCTATTTACCAGCCAGTGCAGCTGTGGGGTGGTTCTCTGTGTAGGATTCAGAAACAATGCAATTTTTGAAGTCAAACAGATGTTTTCCATTTCAAAGGAAAAGATCACACTTAGTGAAGTATTTATTTATAAGCTTCACAACAAAACAAAATGATTATAAGAAAACTTTCAAGGGACACAGGTCGTAGAAACCAACTGAACACCACAGCTTTCCCAACTTCCTGGGAAGTTGCAAAAGAAATACCTGTACACAAAAGTTGACCTTGTGCTGGCTGCAAAGATTTGTAGATTAAGGTTATAATGATCAATAAATTACAACGAGAGTTACCATTACAATCTGATGAGAGACTCCCACTTTGCCTTTCTTTGGTTTCTATCCACTTTTTCCAAAAACACGTCCGGTAATATACATACAAAGGAGTGGTTTTTAAAGCATGTCCTAAAATGATGTCTATGGAAACTTAAGGAATACTTTGGGAATAAATTTCCTCAAAACAAAAACAAAACCAACACGTTTTAAAAATCGAAAGTGAAAATAGGTGTAACTTGTTAGTGACTAATCATTGGAGACACCAGGTTTGGTATTCGAGCAGTGACTAGATTTAAAGAAAATCATCATTTGAGTAGTTTTCTTCTCCTTTTATTCTTTCTTTCTTTTTTTTAAAGGAACCAAACTGTTGATCTGGGGGACACCCACTTGAAAAAGGCTCAAAGCTCTTCTGGACAAGGCAGCGCCAGCCGGGCCCGGAGGTTCAGCGCCTCCCGCGGACGCTCCACCTGCGCGCAGCCAGCGAGGTTTCCGGGAACCGGGGCGCGGCGCTCGGCGGGCCGAGGCGGGTGAGTGGGTGCCCCGTTCCCCTCCTGCCATCCCCGCTTCTAGTGGTCCAGGGCTGGAGAGGCAGTGGATGGCGACGAGGCAGGTTCCGCGGGACTCGGGACCTCCTGCGGGGAGACGCCCGGCGGAGAGCCGGGGGCGGACGGGGGCCGGGCGCAGAGCCCCAGCGCCGCGCCCCTGCGCTGCCCGCTGCCGGGGTCGCAGGGACCACACAGCCACCGAGGGGACGTGCCTGCCCCCGGCCCACGGGGCCTTCTCTGTGCCGTCCCGGCCTCTGACCCCGTCTCCTTTGCTTTGCTTCATTTCGGAAATTGAAACTTAAAATGGTTTGTGTTTCTCCACTGTTCTTGTAGTGTCTCTGGAGACAGTTGTTAGGAAAACAGATTCCTTCAGGACATTTACTCTGTTGGCAGGAGGAGCAGGTTTTGGCAGCCGTACCTCACTTTTCAGAATATGCAGGGGTTTTCCTGAAAGAGACGTCCAAAAGAGAATGCGACTTTTCCCTATCTATACAACATGCAGAAGTTTAAAAAACAAAAACAAAACAAAACAAAAACAACTTTGTGCATCACCACCTCCTTTTTTCCTTCCTTCTCCTCATTTCCTTTCTTTTTGCCGCCAGGCATGCATATGGGAAGATTTGCTTCTATCAGGCGGGGTGGGGGTGGGGGGGTGGGGGGTGGGGGGGTTGGGGGGCATCACGGTGATGTGAGTATATTAAGGGAAATAGGTGGTGAATTGGTATAGGTGATTTGTGCTGGTTTTTTCATTCGCTGCCATAACAAATCACCACAGACTTAGTGGCTTAAAATCCACAAGTTTATTATCTTAAAATTCTGCTGGTTAGACGTTCAACTGGGCGTCACTGGGCTAAAATCAAGGCGTCTTCAGGGCTGCCTTCCTTCCCCGAGGCTAATGCGGTGAACCTGTTTTCTCATCTTTTCCAGCTTCTGTAGACTGCTCACCTTCTTTGGCTCAGTGGTGCCCTTTCTCTGTCCTCAAAGCCAGCAGTGTTGCATTTCTCTGACTATTCTTCTGTTGTCACATCTTACTCTGATTCTGCTCTTCTGCCTTCCTCTTTCACTTTGTAGAAGGACCCTGGTGATTACATTATTTCCCCACCAATAATCCAGGAAGATCTTTGTATTTATATATATGTATATATTGTTTTGGCTGTGTTGAGTCTTTGTCGCTGCATGTGGGCTTTCTCTAGTTGTGGTGAGCAGGAGCTACTCTTTGCGTAGCACGGGCTCTAGGCACGGAGGCTTCAGTAGTTACAGCACATAGGCTCAGTAGTTGCGGTGCGCTGGCTCAGTGGTTGTGGTGCACGGGCTTAGTTGCTCCGCGGCATGTGGGGTCTTCCCGGACCAGGGATCGAACCCGGTTCCCCTGCACTGTCAGGCAGATTCTTAACCACTGCACCACCAAGGAAGTCCAAGATCGTTATATTTTGAAGTCAGCTGATTAGCAACCTTAATTCATTCTACAACTTTAATTCTCCTTTGCAGTGTAACCTAACATATTCACAGATTCTGAGGGTTAGCATGTGGGCATCTTTAAGGGGACCATTATTCTGCCTACCATTTGACTGTATAAAAGGAAAGCTATTACTGTACATCCCATTTATGCAAAGAGGGAAAGTATCCAGTTACTAGATATGCTGTAAGAAGTCCTGGGAATATTATGTAGTAGACCATTCATATGAGTTAAATATATTATTGAGAGCCTTTATTACAAGCCTTTATTATTATTCTTAGTCTATATTAAGAATATAGGGCTTCCCTGGTGGCGCAGTGGTTGAGTCCGCCTGCTGATGCAGGGGACGCGGGTTCGTGCCCGGGTCCGGGAGGATCCCACGTGCCGCGGAGCGGCTGGGCCCGTGAGCCATGGCCGCTGAGCCTGCGCGTCCGGAGCCTGTGCTCCACAACGCGAGAGGCCACAACGGTGAGGCCCGCGTACCGCAAAAAAAAAAAAAAAAAAAAAAAAAATATAGACTAAAAGAACAGTTAAATAATGTTGCAGTTTCTGCTTTCTGGAAATGTAATAAGAGAACTTCACATGCCTGGGATGTCCTGAGCTGAATAAATACCTCAGTCAAGATACTGCACAATTCTATAAACATTGAGTGTTTTCAGTGTGTGAATGTGTATTGTGCTCTGAATGGATACAAGGAACAATGGACGTGGTCCCTGGCCTCAAGGTCATGACCATCTAGTCATGGAAAATGACACAGGTACACAAATAAAGCTCCCCAAAAGAGATAATAGCGGGAGAAGTAAAATCATTTGAGGGAATCAGACAAGGCTTCAAGAACTTGGAGGGGAATTTGGGATGGATGTTGAACAGTAGGGTTTCATTAGGTGGAGGTTAAAGTTGGGAGGGGAGGAAGGATGTGACATTGAGGGACAGGAGGGAGAAGAGAAACCCTTAGAGTGTTCAGTGTGGTTAAGGGACTTGGTCCAGGAGTTGTCTAAATAAGACTAGTTGGGGTTAGATTGTGTAAGACTTGGGATGAATACCGTTATAAGGACTCTGCAGTTGTTAACGCAATAAAGAGCTACTTATATATACCTTTTTTATTTTTAAACTCCTCAAACTTACAGAAAATCTGCAAGTAAAAAATTGTCTTTTTCCTGAGTTATTTGAGAGTAGGTTTCATGACCAATTACCCTGGAATTCTTATTTATTTCCTACAAAAAAGATGTTCTCTATGTAACTACAATACAGTGATTAAAATCAGAAAAATTAATATTGATACATTATGCCATCTAATCCTTGGATCTAATTTAAATTTTGCCAGTTGTCCCTATAATATCCTATAACAAAAGGACCCAGTTCAGAGTTATGCATTGTGTTTAGTTGTGATGTCTCTTTAATCTCCTGCCTGGGACAGTTTCTCAGTCTTTACTTGGCTTTCATGAACTTGACACTTTTGAAGAGAACAGACCAGTTTATCTCATGTTTCCTCTTGTTTAGATTCGGCTCATGCATCTTTGGCAGGAATATCATAGGAATCGTGCTGTGTTCTCGGTGTGCCTATCATATGTCAGATGATTTTGATGTATCTCATTATTTACTTTGATTACTTCATTATGGTGTGGTCCGCCTGGCTTCTTCACTGTAAAGTTATTCTTTTCCCCTTTGAAATTAGTGTTTTGTGGAGAAGTATTTCTTTTGTTTGTTTTGTTTTGAGAAGCTTTATTCATAATAGCCCCAAAGCAGAAATAACCAAATAGCCCACCAACGAGAGAATGAATAAACAACTTGTAGGCTGTCCATGCATGGAATACTACACAGCAATAAAAAGGAACAAACTACTAATACATGCAATAACAAGGACAAGTCTCCAAAACATGTTGAGCTTAAAACTCTAGCACATATAAAAGGGTGCATACCAAATGATTCCACTTATATGAAGTGCAATAACAGGTTGTTCAGTGTAAGGAAATTTTAACTCAATTAAAAACAATCATTTCTTGAGTGTAGACTATATCCCTGGCACTCTTTTGGGTACTGTTAGGGTAGCGTTCTGGATGAACTAAAGCATACTTTAGAGAACAAAACAAAAATCATAGCCCTTACAGTGCTTATATTCTTGTAGGTTAGCTTGACATGTTCAAAGCAAAAGGGCAAACTGTTATTTATCCCCATTGAAATTGTTGATCTCCTTCGAGGGCTTGTCAATGCCAGGACTGGTGAGTGCTCAGAACACCTAAATGATTGAGACTGCACTGGATTTTGGTTTGCAGTACTTGTGGGTATTTTGAAACTAATTAAATGGTCCTTTCCTCACAAAACTATCAATTTATCTATCTATCTATCTACCTATCTAGCTAGCTAGCTAATTAGCTAGCTAGCTATGTTTACCGACTCATAGTTCTCTGTTTTGCTCAGTGGATTTAATTATTACTGTCATTATTTATTTCTGTGCTTAATTGATTCCCAGATTTGTGCAGTGAGAACCTCATCAAGGTGGACTCTATGTTCTTGTGACATATCCTCATCATTCTTTGAGCACTTCTTGCTTTCTGACATCATAAGATGCTTGTCTTGTACTTTTCCTGTCCTACTTCTAGAAGCAGCCATTTCTCTGAATAGCCTTGGTTCCTGGTAGCTGAGAATGGTACTAGAAACTAAATTCTGGGTGCTAGATGTGCTCACTGCTGTTGTCTTTGTTTCCAGGCCCTTTTAGCAGACAGAACTGAGGAATATCACACACTCACACACATATCTATATTTAAATTTCTGTACTTTTCTATCAACATATCAGAAATCATGAGATTATGCTGATATCTCCAGTTCCAATTCATAGCATTCATTCTATTTTTCTCCCTTTGCATTTTTTTTTTTTTTTGATTTTCTGATTTTCTGAGTCAGGTTTTTCATTGTCAGAGAACGTGATTATAAATATGCAGAGGGAGAGCTTCCCTGGTGGCGCAGTGGTTGAGTCCGCCTGCCGATTCAGGGGACACGGATTCATGCCCCGGTCTAGGAAGATCCCACATGCCGCGGAGCAGCTGGGCCCGTGAGCCATGGCCACTGAGCCTGCGCGTCCGGAGCCTGTACTCTGCAACGGGAGAGGCCACAACAGTGAGAGGCCCGCGTACCGCAAAAAAACAAAAAAACCAATGAGAGATGTTTAAAAAAAAAAAAGGAGAACAAAAAAATAAAACCCCAATGAGACACCACTTCACATCTATTAGAATGGGCGTCATGAAAAAGACAAGAGGTAACTGTAAGGCCAACTGGCCCGAGGCAGGGGAACACAATCAGATTCACAGGTTGCATCAGACCGAAACTCTCCGGACCACCCAGTTCCAGGAACTGACCTGGGGACTTTGAACCCGGCCCAGCCTTCCCGCCTTTCGAGGGGCGGGACTAACGGTCCCCCAGGATACCCGGAAAGACCACCAAATAAGGAATACCCTGCGCCCTCCCAGATTCACCACACCCCTTTCCCTTCTTCCCCTATAAAATCTTGCCCAACCCTCGCCCGGGTGCGACTTCTCTGGCCCCTTTCTCTTGGACCAGTGAACCTCGCCCGGGAGCGCTCCCTAATAAAGCTCACTTGAAGCTTTCCTCTGTTTCGAGGTGCTGTTTGGTTAAGATCCGACCTTACAGTAACAAATACTGGAGAGGGTGTGGAGAAAAGGGAACCCCTGTGCACTGTTGGTGGGAATGTAAATTGGTGCAGCCGCTATGGAGAACAGTATGGAGGATCCTCAAAAAGTTAAAAGTAGAACTACCATATGACCCCTTTTTTTGGACACTGCTTGTGTTCACACTGAGTAAACTAAGCCATGACTAATTTTTTGCTAGTCTTCTATTTTATTTTTAGAGAAGAATACATGTCTTTTCTGTTTCTTCTATAGGAATAGTGAGAATTTAGCCACTTGAAATCTTGGAAGATTGTATTAACAGACACATTATTAATGTGCTTCTAAAACAATAACTGTTGTGATAATCCTTGTGTCATATTTGATCTGGGACAACTCCATCTTAGTAAATTGATATGCAGGCAAGGTTTCTTAACTTTTTTGGTGCCAGTCTGAAAAAGCTTGTGGGCCTTTCTCAAAATAAAGTTTTTAAGTTGTATAAAACAAAATACATAGAATTATAAAGGAAACCAATTATATTGAAATATGATTATCAGGTTATTTAAAAAGCAAATATTTAATATAGTAATATATATCAATATACTACAGTTTATTACAAGACCTAGTCATGAGTTTAATAACTATCATAATTTTGAAGCAGGGTTAAACACAAGCAATGTTTCAGGATATCTGGAAGAGTTAAAATATTTTATGAAAATATCTGTACCGTCTTGGTGACTTTTGTCACAGGGGCTGCAAATACTATGTGGCTTTTTGCCTATATTCATATTTGAAGAGAATGCTAAGTTTCAATAAGAGGTTATTAGAAATAAAGATGAAGTTTTTTTCCTGTCCAAGTGTATGAACTCAGGAGGGTTTGTGAAAACCCCTGTACGCATAGAGGAATGGTGTTTGGAGGTCTTTTTACTCCATTACGTTTGGGGAGTATAATAGGGAGAATTAAATATTTAAATAAAAACCTTTGAAAAAGTCTAGAAGACCAAAATAATAGTCTTTTAAAATGGAGCATCATATTATGATTGAAATGAGAACTACAAAGGAATGTTAATACCTATTATTTTCTCTTACGGTGTTGAAAAGCAAAGAATTTTTAGAACCTTTTTATATGTTTATAGGTGTGAAAGTTATTTGAAATAGAGACTTTGGATATAATCCTCATGATAATAAAGACTTCGGTGATAGGAAATAACATATAGCAAAGAAGAGATGTTTCTTCTGTAAGAGGGTAAAAGTTACTTTTTCTTGAATTTGTGTTTGTACTATTTTTAAAGTACTTACCTTTTATAGTAATTAGGGAATCATGGCAACTGATGAAGATAACAAAGAACAAGTTCTTAAGGAGTATGGGCCAGCTGAAGAATTTATGAAAGATGAACAAAACCAGGTAAAAAGGAAAAATTACTGAGTACTATTAAAAATTAACTTACATCTATTTTGCAGCGAGGCATGTTTCATATGTCTTTGTCCAACATTATGTTGAATTTGGAAGAATATTAGGATTTTCAGTTTTCTTTACCTCTATTATTCAAGACTGACAAGAAGAATCATATTTCTTTTCTTTCTCTTACACAGCTTACAATGTTAGCTGCTTTTTCACTTCCTCTCTCATTTCTTTGATTTGCACCTAGAAGTTAAGAGTTTCGTTAGCAATTATCCAATTAGACCTAAGAGGGAATGGAGGCTCAGGTAGTTAAACCACTTACTCAAGGCCATCTGTCTGGCATATCAAGGCAGCTATACTGTGGGAATCACAGAAAAAAATATTTATAAATTGCCCCAGAGTAACATATGTCCACAGTTATGGTGCAGCTTAAAAGTCATATTGGAGTCACAAATAGTTAGGAAGGAATTGACAGAGCACTGAACTAAGATCCAGAAGACAGGGGTATCAATCCTTGCTCTACTATAAACATTTTTGTGACTTTGGTTTAGTGTGAAAAGTGGTTTCCTTTTTTGTATAATAGAGATAATAATCCTTGGCAGTGTTAAGAAAGTCGACAGGTGATGATGTAAAACATTTGACAAAGGTATTATTCACGTGATCATATTTATTTTGAGACTGTCTAATGTCTTTCTTTGCCTTGTTCAAAGTGAGAGAAATTTTGCTTCTTTAATTAATTAGAAAAATGAGGTCGGGGCTGGGACTTCCCTGGTGGTCTAGTGGGTAAGACTTCACGCTCCCAATGCAGGGGACCCGGGTTCCATCCCTGGTCGGGGAACTAGCTCCCACGTGCATGCACAGCTAACAAGTCCACATGCCGCAACTAAAGATCCCACATGCTGCAACAAAGATCCCATGTGCCACAACTAAGACTTTGTGCAGCCAAAATAAATAAATATTAAGAAAAGAGAAGAAAAATGAGGTCGGGACTGTTTAAATTTTGGGTGTTATTTTATTTCCTTTTTATTTTTAGAAATTAATTAGTGAAATTGAAAAGGAAAATATTCAGTTAAAGGAGGAGATCCAAAAGCTTGAAGCTGAGTTGCAAGCGACAACCGGGAACTCCCAGGTACTTCTTTAATTATTTTATGTATCTCATTTTTCACAGACCCCATTTTTCAGGAAAAGCAATTTATCAATACAGAATTCATTTCTAAAACATTATGGTCATCCATGGCACCACTGTTTGCAACAGCCCCAAACTGAGAGCAGTAGGATGAATTAATAAATTAGGGTGTATTCACACAGTGGACTACTACACAACGATGAGAATGAACAGGCTACAACTGTATGCAATAACATCGATGAATTTCATAAACACAGTGCTGAGCCAGAAAAGGGGAAACAGGGCACACCATATGCTTCTGTTGAAATAGAGCATGAAAACACGATGTTAGAAGTTAGTATGGTGGTTACTCCTAGAGGCAGGTAGGAACTGGAAGGGAACCCAAGAGGGCTTCTGGGGTGTTGGTCTTGTTCTGATTATTAATCTGGGTGCTGGTCACAGGTGTGTGATCACTGTAGAATTTCATCTTGCTGCACACTTATGCTAATACATGTTTTAATATTCATGTATATGTTAATCCAAAACTACCCCCAAATGATGGTCATTATCAATCACTTTTGGATCAAATTCTTGGTCTTCTCACCAAGTTCTTTTATTGTTCTCCTCATCCAAGTAATTTAAGTGAGTTTCACAGTTAAAAAGAAATTGGATGAGTATCTTCATTTAAATTCTTAATTTCTCCTGTGTTTGAGTTAGACATAGCTTTCACTCCTTTTTTCTTCATAACAACCCAGGTTGTTAAAAAAAAATACTTTAAACAATTTAAATGCTTAAAGCATTGTCACTTTTTGTTTCTGAAATGGGGGATAGGATGTTGAATATCAGGAAGTGAAGTTTCCGGTGTTTGTGAGATTTAGAGAAGTCTCTGTTAAGATTCTGGATACTTCTCAGGCTGGAGCCAGAATCATTTAGTCCTACAACTCAAAGGGCCTCGGGAACCCAGCCAGCTCAGTTGATTCACTTCACAGAGGACTGAAACTGGGGTCTAGAGAGCATAAGTGAATTGCTCCCTGCCACGGTCTACTCAGGACTAGAAGCAGGCATTCTCACTCTCACTCCGGAAAGCTCTTGACTTCTCAGGGTATACTGGATGTTTCTACATTATTGGGAAACACTCTGCCTTTTCTCAAGACACTGCAGATCGTTTTGAAGTCAGAGTTATGGTAATCAGAAATTCTACCAAAGTTACATGTAGAATAAATGTCAGATGAGATCAAATGACTCACTTGATATTTCTAATGTCTTTGCGATAAAACCTTTTCTTGCAACATGTAAAATGACCATGGGAAATAGAAACGCAAACACTCAATTCATTTGTGCATTTATGTGTGGTTGTACTGACTGTTCATCCCAGTGATTTTAAGCGGCTAAGTATAACCCCTTAACTTTATCCTCCAGATTACAGATCTTGCTGGTAGTGTCCCTTCACATTTTTATAAACCTCAGTTGGGGTAATGGTTAAAAAGTTGATGGGCAGGTGTTGAGGAAGGGGGAATTTAAATTTGATAAATTTTAAGTCATTGAATTCAGGAGTCTTTCTTTTTGGATGAAGTTATCTGAGTTTGCCATCAAAATAACCATATACACCTGACTCTATTTCATACTTCTTTGCAGTGAGGGTAAATATACTGTGCAATGATTTCTTTGTGAGATAGCTTATTATTGGCACAGTTGTTCAAAGGGTATTTTTCTACAGGAATGATGTAGGCTTTAGACTCAAACACCACACAATATTGACCAGTTTAAACACTTAGAAAAAGTGAGAGATTATATATTTACAATTTCATCTGTGAAATAATATTGAAGGATCAGCATCTGACTCCATTACTGAGTACTTCCCCGGGAAGAAGCAATTACTAAAGATATTAAATAAGACCACGCTCAGTATTCCGTGGGGCTCTGAAGTCAGTGGAGAGTGAATTATTGGATGATCAAATCACATTATCATTGGAAGGACTTAAGTTATTTCTTGTCTTGATTTTAATCAAACATTTCTGTTTGAATTAGATTAACGAGGATATTCCCGAAACAAAGATAAAGTTCACAGCTGTAGAGAATCCTGAGAGTGACAGCCAGTTTTCAAATACCTCCTATTCGTGTCAAGTGAGCTCAAAAGTCCCTTATGAGCTACAAAAAGGACAAGCACTTATCACCTTTGAAAAAGAAGAAGGTATGACTCATGTTCAAAAATTTGACCATGTTACCTTTGGAAAGCAATGGGACTTTCAAAGAGTTTTTGTAGATATTTGGCCACTGCTTTACAATTTTTACATTTATCATTTCATCTCATCCTCATAGTGACACCCTGAGGTAGGTATGATTATACCCATTTTACAGATGAGAAAACTGACTCTGAGACGTTGAGTGACTTGAACATGATCACTCATTCAGGACGTGACAATGCTGGGACTCAAGCCCAGGTGTTGTGATGTCCAATACCAATGCCTTTCTACTGCAACTGCTACCTGCAAATGATAATACTAGTGATAATGTTTCAAGGTTGTAAAGCTCTACATCATTCTAGGAGAGTTCTCACAGACATTATCTCATTGTATACTCACATGAATCCATGAAAGAAATAAGATAGAGAGTTACTATTTACATTTTATAACTAAGAAAACAGATTCTCAGGTGTTTAAGTGATTTACCTAAATGCACAAGACCTGTGAATGGCAAGAGCCCTGGAGTCAGAGATTTGGGAGCGGGACCTGATGTTTGCCACGTCCGCCGTGGTGTGGGACCCTCTTGAGATCTGGGGGAAACTTAATGAGGAGAATCTGGCTTTGAGTGCCAGCTGTGCCCCTTTCTAGAAGTGTAACTTGGTTGGGTTCTTTATAAATCTCAATTTTTTTATGACACATTTTGTGGCAGTACCTACCTCAGGGGGTTGCTTTGAGTATTAAATGAGAAATGTTGAAAAATACTTAGCACAGTGTCTGATATGTAATAAACACTTAATAAATGTTAGCTGTCATTATTGCTACATGTTAGGAATTTTTCAGCTAAAGAAACAGAAGCTTACCTAAGATAAGGAACTTGCTCAAGGTCCATACAGGTGATAAATTGCAGAGCTGAGAGCCAAACCTCAAGTACCCTTGTATGTTCTACTGTACCAACATTCCTCTGAGCAGGCCACCATCTGGGCATTTTGTTCTCATATTTTCCAAGTTAGATTAAGTTATGGGTGGGGTCAGATGGTCTTCACAAACCCAGTGTTCAGATTCTGGGAATCTATGATTATAACTCATGTCTCCTTGACACCTGGTTTGTTACTATAGCCTGAAAATAAATAGAAAGGCATTCTGGCAGGTCACTATATGCACATACGCTTTGTCCACCCTGGGTCCGCCCCTGCAGCTGAGGGTGAAGGGGGAGGCCAAGAGCCCTGTTGGCAGTTGGCAGTGGTAATTGAGATATAACTGAAGGATGGAAGTGAGGATTTGGGAAGCAAGGATTCTGCATAGGAATTACCTGGGGATGCTGGGAACAGGATTTTCTTCAAAAACAGCTGCATCACTGCTTCCACCCTTGGCATGGCTCTGAGGTCCTGCTCTTCTGGACAACTTTGGGTTTCTACACAATTAAACAGGAGTTGGCTTTTGACAGAGTCACAGAAGTTGAAACACAAGTAGCCCTCTCAGCTGTGTCAGATCACCAGATGTTGGAGGTTTGGGGGGGGGGGGAGGGGTGGGCATTGGGAGGGAAAGATCATCATCTAAGTATTACTTACAGTTGATAATCTCTGTTATTGTTGCCTGTTGTCAATAACAACAAAAAAGATGTAATTCAAGTTAGAGAGCCATATCATGGTACAATGAGTCTGAATTCCCACATGACAACGCCCTGTTTTCTAGCCTTGTTTCTCTCTTCCTCCAGCTGTGGTGTGCTGTCTGGTTGTTATAAACACATGTGAGGTTTATAAGACCGAGACTAATTTGTGTCTAGTCTTTATGACCTATTAGAGTAAGCAGCTCCAAATAGCAACAACTGAAGGGTTATAAACTCTTATGTCACACAATTAAAAATAAACACATACCCACATGCATTTTATTTTGGTTTTTTATTATTCTTATTTATTTTTGGCCGCATCTTAGTTCTCCGACCAGGGATTGAAACCCAGCCCCTCAGCAGTGAGAGCACCGAGTTCTAACCACTGGACCACTAGGGAATTCCCCGCACATTCATTTTAAACTGTCGTATAGTTGCTATTGGATTTCTAATGATATTTGGCATAATTATATTACTAAGCCTTTCCCATTTGCATGGCTAAATTAGACTAGATAGTTTTGTGATCAGTATATGAAGACTTTCGACTTTTTAATGAATGATCTCAAGAGCATTTTAAGGAGAGTAGAATTCTTCATTAAATATGACCCCCCCAAAAAAAAGACTCACTCTTTGGTATTTAAGTCTTTGTGGTCTTTAATATGTAATCCTGGGGAAATACAGAGACAAGAACAAATATTTTTTGTTGCTTGTAACATATTAAGGAGCAGTGACAAATGATAAATAAGATTGTCAGAATGACACTGACCTAAAAAGTTTTCCTAGCTTACTCAACATGGAAGAAATTTCTGGCTGAGCTTTAATGTACTAAGGGAGTTCTCTGATAATTCTGTCTACAGTGGAAAGGAAGGGTGTGTGGCTGTACTGAAGTAATATATGAATTTCTGAAGGATCATCAGGCTTATCTCTTAAGGGATGAATCTAGAACTTGTCGAGAATTTCTACACTGTAATTTTTTGCTGATATATTTTGACATTAATATATCCTACTATGGTGGCAAGACCATCATCACTTAGAAATCCTAAGAAAAATGTAAAAATTAGATCCCTTAAAATTAAAGAAAATTTAAAATATTCAGGATTATTTGTTGTTAAACCAAACATGTAAAAATGTATTGAAATATTGGAAATTAATACTTCCCAAATTATTTTTCAGTTGCCCAAAATGTGATCAGAGTGGGGCACCATCATGTGCAGATACCGGATGTAAATGTGAAGGTTATGGCCAGCCCGGTTCCATTAAACTTAGGAGTCAGATTCCAGGTAACATCGTGATTAAAGCGTTTCAGAATTTGTTAAACACGGACACTTTTCTCATCCATATTTCTGAACGTGAACTGATTTCCCAGGTTCACGTAGAAGTGTCCAAAATGAAGATCCATGTTACTGACATTCCTGATGAACTGCCTGAAAGTCAGATGAGAGACAAGCTAGAACTGAGTTTTTGTAAATCCCGCAACGGAGGCGGAGAAGTGGACTGCGTGGAGTACGACAAGCAGTCCCGGAGCGCCGTCGTCACGTTTGTGGAAAGTGGAGGTATTCCCGCACTGAGAATTAGACAGTACTCTAGCATTTAAATTACATTCTGCCAGGTCTGAAAGTATCCCTTTCTACTGCTTTTATTTGGAATTTATTAGACAGCATAATAACAGGGGATTTTTTTTAACCTTATGAAATGGTAGAGTCCTGAAAATGATTTCCCTGAGTGCTACTGAGAATGATAGGATTACAGATAACAAGTACCTACATCTTAGTGCATTCCTATCACGTGCCAGGCATGGAGTCTTTGGTGTTTTATACATATATCTGCTCAGATCCATAGCACAGCTCTGGATGTAGGTGTTATACTCATTTTATTGATGAGGAAACTAAGGCGTACTCAAGGTAAGCAGCTTACCCAAGATCGCACAGTGGGTGTGTGGCAGAGAAACATTCTGAAAAAAAAATATATAAAACTGTCTCTTCATCTCACTTATTACGATTGACAAGGATCTCAGGTGGAGGTAATCGATTCCAGGAAGAAAAGGGGGTAATACAGAGAACAGCTGTTCCTTTTTTAGGTAGAAATGGACTTTTACCAAATCATCTTAGGGAGGTTTATATTCTTATAATGAAAAGTAGAAGATTCTCCAAGTTCTTTTGTTAATATGTTCAAATGATTCTCAATGTAAAAATCTCTTCCTCTAGTTAATCTAGTTCTTAGGACTTCTCCAGGGTTTGCACATATGATAGAAATCCAAATATACAGTTAAAAACCGTTGACTGATTTAAGTTTTTTCATAATAAAGTAATACATGCTTTTTAAAGAAAATTGAAATAATAGAGAACAACATTAATTTAATAAAAATTGAGACATTTCCTTAAATTTCCAAACTTCCTTTCTCCTGCTATGTAGCTAGTTATGGTTAGGTGAATGTCTTTCCAGATCCTTCTGGAATTGCTGGATAATATGGTAATTCTATGTTTAATGCTTGAGGAACCGCCATACTGTTTTCCACAGTGGCTACACCTTTACATTCCTACCAGCAATGTACCAGGGTTCCAGTTTCTCCACATCCTTGCCAGCAAGGATCTACACTCTTAACCACTGTACTATATTGCTAATTCAAGGTGGACTGGTGAGAGGAGAAAAAAAGTGATTGGATATTCTTACGAACTGTTTCTGTTAAACTCTATGCAATCTTGACACATTACCTTTTTTCCCTCTAGGAAAAAAAACTGCTAAAAATAAATCTGGTTATTTTTTGTGTTGGAGAAAGTTGATGAATTTTTGTTATTTGCCTTCACTTTTTTTAGATGACATTCAGCACCCCTGCACCTTTGATTAACATCATTATACAGGTTTATTGAATGTCATGTATTAGTTACAGGACAATTAAATAATTTTATATATATAATAGTAATATAGTAATTTGCTATATGTATGTATGTGTGTATATATATATATATATATATGCACAGAAAGAGAGAGAAAGAGAGTATTCTAATCGTAATTTGCATGTGTACTTCTTGAGAGATTGGGAAACACTGGGTTTTGTTAGGATGGCTGGGTTATTTTTTGCAAATGGTTATCACATTTTATGTAGCTCAAGGTAGGTCTATCTGAGGACATCGCAGCTCACTGTGCATTGATTGACTGATAGTTTAAGACAGATGGAGTTATTTAAATCTCATTATCATTTGGTTTTATGTTTTTTAAAATTATGTACTGTGAATTCTTTAAAGTGGACTGTAGAATTTCTTAAAAATTAATCCCTCAAGCCACTGTTTACTCTGACATTCTGTTTGAAGGAGGTTTTAACTTTGGTTAAAAAATGTTTGATATAAAGGAGAAAATAATTTTTAAAAATTTACTTCTAGTTGCTGACAAGATTTTGAAAATAAAAGACTATCCTCTTTATATAAATGAAAACTGCCAGAGAGTTACTGTTTCTCCGTACACAGAAACATACCTGAAAAAGTTTCAGGTAAAGTCATCTCTCTTCTTTCATTTTGGAAACTTATTGCCCGGTCCCACCCCACAGAAAATAAAAAGTTGTGATTCTGTTTCCGTTAGAATCTTATTAATTAACCTAGCCTGCCATCCTGAAAACTAGAACTCATGCCTAACTCTTGGTTTCACTTCCCCTCCAGCATTCATTTCGTTACTTGATCTTGTCACTTCCATCTCTCACTACCTCTCTAACTGGTCTCTCTGTCCATAGAGTTGCCCTCCTTTCCTCTATTTGTCACAATGGCACCAGAGTTATCTTTCTGAAACTCAGATCCAACTCTGATATTCTCTTGCTTGAAAATCTTCCTGAGGCCCATTGTCTCTCTCAAGATAACATCCAAACTATTAAGCAGAGCTTATAAATGTAAAGTTTTATAATTCAAAGCACTTAGAAAATTTTCTATTTATCTTTTTATTTTGCTTCTTAGGTATTTTCAGGAGTATCTAAGAAGACGGTGCTTCTGACTGGACTGGAAGACCTTCAGATCATAGATGAAGAAACTGTAGAGGATTTTATTAACATTCACTTTCAACGGGAGAAAAATGGAGGTGGAGAAGTCGAGGTAGTCAAGTGTTCCCTTGGGCAACCTTACATAGCATACTTTGAAGAATAGAGTCATGGAATCCTATGAAAATTAGAGCTTTTGAACCCAAATCACTGTTAATGCTTGACAAAAATGAATATCCTTTTCCTTAAAAAAAATGAATAATTCTTTCGTGTTTGTTTATTCTTAGATACAAAATATATTTCTGTTTTTGAATTCTTTGTTTCCACCTGTGCTGAATGTTTACAAATGCAATAACTATATTAAAACTGTTTTGTTCATAAATTTTGTGGCTGGGTGCCATGTCCATTGAAATGAACCGTAAGTGATCCAGTTGTCCGCCTGCCATGTTGGCTCATTCTGTCATGGTCTGAGCCAACAGCAGAATTAAATTCATATTAAAATGCTGACAGAAATGAAATGCTTTTAGAAAAGATTCTAAACCTAGACCTATCCAATGCTGCCTGCCATCTAAAATAAAGGGAAAAACTAAAAAGAAAAAAGGCTTGGTTTTGCTTCTGATATTTCATTTTTAGGTTTTTAAGTTGTTATTACTACCATCAGAAATACTCATTTCTCTCACATTTCTCTTTGGAATAAGAAATGTTGCCTATGGGGCTTCCCTGGTGGCGCAGTGGTTGGGAATCCGCCTGCTGATGCAGGGGACACGGGTTTGAGCCCTGGGCCGGGAGGATCCCACATGCCGCGGAGCAGCTGGGCCCGTGCTCCACAAGTACTGAGCCTGCACTCTTCAGCCTACGAGCCACATCTACTGAAGCCTGCCACACGCCTAGAGCCTATGCTCCTCAACAAAGACAAGCCACCTCAATGAGAAGCCTGTGCACTGCAACGAAGAGTAGCTCCCGCTCGCTGCAACTAGAGAAAGCCCACGTGCAGCAACAAGGACCCAATGCAGCCAAAAATAATAATTTAAAAAATATATTAAGAAAAATTTAAAGAACCTCATTTAATTTTGATTGGTACAATCTCACTAGCACAGAGGATGTTATATTTAGTCTATGGTAGACTTCCAATTAGAAATAATTTTTTCCTAATATTTAGGACAAAGTTGGAAACAGTCCCTTTTGTTTCTTTTGGGGGCCTTCCTCAGACAGTAAAATAGATAATTTCATCTGATCTTAAATTTTCACAATGGTTTTGATAAATGTTACTTATCCTAGAAAATTATGCTTTTTCTTTGGGTTCCTTTCACCATTCCACCTCTGTGTGATCTGACTAAAACTCAGAAATCAAGCACTGGCTCTCCTGCTTATTTCCAGAGTTTTACAGATTTTACAGGAGGAAACTTTTCTTTAAAATATACCAAAAGATACTGTATTGACTATTTAACATATTGCATGTTACGGTAGGAAGCCTTCAACTATGTGTCCAGGATGAGCTATCTCCACTTATTAATGTGTGCAAAGACTTTGTCATTACGTAAGTCAGGAAAGACAGATAATGTGGAATTACAAGTCCCTTTTGCTGTTTGTAGATTTATCAGTCAGGAGAGGCTGGGCTATGCTGTGACAACACAACCTCCCAAATCTTGGAGACCTAGTAAAATAAAAGTTTACTTCTCGCTCATGCTGAATGTCCAACAAAAGTTGGTAAGGGACTCTGTCTTAATCACTTCAGGCCCCCTCTTGAGACATGCTTCCAGAATCATGCAGGTGGGGAAAAGTGAAATCTGGAGAGTCTTGCACCAGCAATTAAGTGCTGTGACCCAGAAGTGACCTGTGCCATTTCCTCTCACATCTCATTGGCCAGAAATAGTCATATGGCCTCACTGAAACATAACGGGGCTAGGAAATTCCCTGACTGTCCAGTGGTTAGGACTCCTGCTTCCACAGCAGGGGGCATGGGTCGGGTCTCTGGTCGGGGAACTAAGATTCCACATGCCATACGGTGTGTCAAAACAAAAGAAAAAAGAAAAGAAAGAAAATGTAAGGGGGCTAGAAAATTCCATCTTGTAAAAATGAGAACTAGATATAGTTGAGACAGAATAATAAGGAATAATAAGTGTAGTATGTCCTGTCCTACTGGTCATAAATATGTTTTTTTTTTTACCATCTTTATTGGAGTACAGTTGCTTTACAATGGTGTGTTAGTTTCTGCTGTATAACAAAGTGAATCAGTGAATCAGCTATGTGTATACATATGTCACCATATCCCCTCAAACTTGCATCTCCCTCCCACCCTCCCTATCCCACCCCTCTAGGTGGCCACAAAGCACCAAGCTGATCTCCCTGTGCTATGGAGCTGCTTCCCACTAGCTAGCTATTTTACATTTGGTAGTGTATATATATCAATGTTGCTCTCTCACTTCATCCCAACTTACCCTTCTTCCCCGTCCCCGTGTCCTCAAGTCCATTCCCTACATCTGCGTCTTTATTCCTGTCCTGCCCCTAGGTTCTGCATAACCATTTTTTATTTTTAGATTCCATATATATATGTTAGCATACGGTATTGTTTTTTTCTTTCTGACTTACTTCACTCTATATGAGAGTCTATAAGCCCATCCACCTCACTACAAATAACTCAATTTCATTTCTTTTTATGTCTGAGTAATATTCCATTGTATATATGTGCCACATCTTCTTTATCCATTCATCTGTTGATGGACACTTACGTTGCTGCCATGTCCTGGCTATTGTAAATAGTGCTGCAATGAACATTGTGGTACATGACTCATTTAGAATTACCGTTTTCTCAGGGTATACACCTAGTAGTGGGATTGCTGAGTCATATGGTAGTTCTATTTTTAGTTTTTTAAGCAACCTCCATACTGTTCCCCATAGTGGCTGTATCAACTTACATTCCCAACAACAGTGCAAGAAGGTTCCATTTTCTCCACACCCTCTCCAGCATTTACTGTTTGTAGATTTTTTGATGATGGCCATTCTGACTGGTGTGTGGTGATACCTCATTGTAGTTTTGATTTGCATTTCTCTAATGATTAGTGATATTGAGCAGATTTTCATGTGTTTGTTGGAAATCTGTATATCTTCTTTAAAGAAATGTCTATTTAGGTCTTCTGCCCATTTTTGGATTCTGTTGTTTGTTTTTTTGATATTGAGCTGCATGAGCTGCTCGTATATTTTGGAGATTAATCCTTTGTCAGTTGCTTCGTTTGAAAATATTTTCTCCCATTCTGAGGATTGTCTTTTCATCTTGTTTATAGTTTCCTTTGCTATGCAAAAGCTTTTAACTTTCATTAGGTCCCATTTGTTTATTTTTGTTTATATTTCCTTTTCTCTAGTAGGTGGGTCAAAAAGGATCTTGCTGTGATTTATGTCATAGAATTTCTTGTTCTAGTTCTGTGAAAAATGCCTTTGGTAGTTTGATAAGGATTGCATTGAATCTATAATTACTTTGAGTAGTATAGTCATTTTCACAGTGTTGATTTTTCCAATCCAAGAACATGTTATATCTCTCCATCTGTTTGTTTCATCTTTAATTTCTTTAATCAGCGTCTTTCAGATTTTTCATCATTAGCTTATAGGAATGCAAGAGATTTCTGTGCATTAATTTTGTATCCTGCTACTTTACCAAATCATTGATTAGCTCTAGTAGTTTTCTGGTAGCATCTTTAGGATTCTATAGGACATTCCAGATGACTGTTTGTCATCTGCAAACAGTGACAGCTTTACTTCTTCTTTTCCGATTTGGATTCCTTTTATTTCTTTTTCTTCTTTGATTGCTGTGGCTAAAACTTCCAAAACTATGTTGAATAATAGTGGTGAGGGTGGACAACTTTGTCTTGTTCCTGATCTTAGAGAAAATGGTTTCAGATTTTCACCATTGAGAATTATGTTGGCTGTGGGTTTGTCATATATGACCTTTATTATGTTGAGGTAAGTTCCCTCTATGGCTACTTTCTAGAGGGTTTTTATCATAAATGGGTGTTGAATTTTGTCAAAAACTTATTCTGCATCTATTGAGATGATCATATGGTTTTTCTCCTCCAGTTTGTTAATATGGTTTATCACGTTGATTGATTTGCATATATTGAAGAATCCTTGCATTCCTGGGATAAACCCCACTTGGTCATGGTGTATGATCTGTTGAATGTGCAGTTGGAATCTGTTTGCTAGTATTTTGTTGAGGATTTTTGCATCTATGTTCATCAGTGATATTGACCTGTAGTTTTCTTTTTTTGTGACATCTTTGTCTGGTTTTGGTATCAGCGTGAAGGTGGCCTCGTAGAATGAGTTGGGAGTGTTCCTCCCTCTGCTATATTTTGGAAGAGTTTGAGAAGGATAGGTGTTATCTATTCTCTAAATGTTTGACAGAATTCGCCTGTGAAGCCATCTGGTCCTGGACTTCTGTTTGTTGGAAGATTTTTAATTACAGTCTCAATTTCAGTGCTTGTGATTTGTCTGTTTATATTTTCTATTTCTTCCTGGTTCAATCTTGGAAGGTTGTGCTTTTCTAAGAATTTGTCCATTTCCTCCAGGTTGTCCATTTTATTGGCATATAGTTGCTTGTAGTAATGTCTCATGATCCTTTGTATTTCTGCACTGTCAGTTGTTACTTCTCCTTTTTCAGTTCTACTTCTATTGATTTGAGTCTTCTCCCTTTTTTTCTTGATGAGTCTGGCTAATGGTTTATCAATTTTGTTTATCTTCTCAAAGAACCAGCTTTTGGTTTTATTGATCTTTGCTATTGTTTCCTTCATTTCTTTTTCATGATTTCTAATCTGATCTTTATGACTTCTTTCCTTCTGCTAACTTTGGGGTTTTTTTGTTCTTCTTTCTCTAATTGCTTTAGGTGTAAGGTTAGCTTGCTTACTTGAGGTGTTTCTTGTTTCTTGAGGTAGGATTGTATTGCTATAAACTTCCCTCTTAGAACTGCTTTTGCTGCATCCCATAGGTTTTGGGTCATCGTGTTTTCATTGTCATTTGTTTCTAGGTGTTTTTTGATTTCCTCTTTGATTTCTTCAGTGATCTCTTGGTTATTTAGCAGTGTATTGTTTTACCTCCATGTGTTTGTATTTTTTATAGATTTTTTTCCTGTAATTGATACCTAGTCTGATAGTGTTGTGGTTAGAAAAGATACTTGATACAATTTCAATTTTCTTAAATTTACAACGGCTTGATTTGTGATCCAAGATATGATATATCCTGGAGAATGTTCCATGAGCACTTGAGAAGGAAGTGTATTCTGTTGTTTTCGGATGGAATGTCCTATAGATATCAATTAAGTCCATCTTATTTAATGTCTCATTTAAAGCTTGTGTTTCCTTATTTATTTTCATTTTGGATGATCTGTCCATTAGTAAAAGTGAGGTTTTAAAGTCCCCTACTATGATTGTGTTACTGTCGATTTCCCCTTTTATGGTTGTTAGC